TTTATTGGCTTCTCAATTTGAAAGGAAATGAGATCACAGGTACATCTCTAATTTTATACTGTGACACCATAGTCTGATAGTTTTAATAACTAATGATTTCATTGCTGCCGTTTGCGTCGGTCGCAGAGTGCTGCCCCTTTCGACAACCCACGGAGAAGACCGTCTCAATCAACCACTGGAACAAACCCACTCTAGCCGGCCGTCTGGGGGAGAAGAGATTGTGTTCCTCGATTTTCCTCCTCGGGCAGATTCGAATTTGCCACCTTCGCTACCGGACGAAAGGCCATTATTCTATCTACACAGAATTGACCACCTGGGTAGCAATCCGCATACAAGAGAATTACCGAGAATTACCAGACATTCCTGTGTGAATGTATGGGAGAGTCCACTACAAAAAGCGCGTCGGAACAATACGATACGGTAAGCGAGTTGCGAGTCAGACTAAGAGACACTAGTCAATCTGCTAGGCCGATCTATTGGGACCAACTCATCCACTCTCGCGCCTTATCATCTTCCCTCGTCGGGTCTCTCCAGCCACAGTCACCAAACGGAATCCCCTCGGAGAATTGTTCAGCTTTCCATCAATTCCTGGTTGTCACCGGGCCACATCAGACAGAAAAAGAGGGGAAGCAAGCTTCTCTCGGTGAACACAATCATCATAATGGGTGGCTGGGAATTGAATTCTGTCCCGGTCCGATGGCGAAAAGGCAGATGAGAATTCACCTTGGATCGGACAACATCAGTCTGGCTGGCATGATGCTGCTCATATCATGATGACGAGCAGTGGCTGAAACGGAGTGCGATCGTCGCTTTGCTGTTGATCAGCCCAAAAGTCAAATGCAAATCTAGCATTGCGCGCGCTCCTGATCGGAATTCCCCTTACGCTGGCCTCCCCTTCAATCGTCATCGACTCCTCCACTCACAGGAGTGTGACCCGGGCGACCCAACGATCCCATCTGAGATCCAGAGTTGACCTGCCAGTGGCATCGCCTCTCACTCGTCATGCCCGGCCCCAAGTGGAGTGGCTTGTTCCCTCGTGGGTGGCACTAGCTTCAATCCCTCACCATCCCACCCAGACTTGACCAAAGCCCGGATGAGCTCCCCTTTTAACTCTTCTCGTGATGCTAGCCTGAGATTTCCTTCACGGGAACCATTCTTTCGGTTCAGCCGAACCCATTGCCATTCCTAGGGGTCCAATTGGCATGCGTTGAGCTGTGCACCCAATCTGCTTTGGCCGGCTCTTTTCTACTTTTTCAATTTCTTTTTTCGCTACAGTGGGCAGATCAGCAAACCCACTTCAAGTCCCAGGCGACCCAAACAGAAAAAGGTTTCCTTTCTTTGGGTGGCTCCCCCTCTCCCTTTAAGCTTTGCGCCCCTTGAGTCTATCCTTTGCTTTTCTCATTTTTCGTTTAAACAAACCTCCCTCCCTCCTTTTCGTTTCTGTCCAGCTGCCCTGTTTGGATCTCACACTCTTTCGATCCTGGCCGTGCCCTTGCCTGTGATCCCCTCCCCCTCTCTGCGGTCGACCGCTCTCGATCGTGCGACATTCTGCCTCTTGACGTAACCGCACCTATACTCTACTTGACCACGACGGACTCGTACTGCCACGGGCATTGATTCGCGCCATCATGGCTATCCATGATGTCGGCCTGGAAGGCCTTCATCAGCTATTCCAACGGGTGAGTCCTAATGGTGTTGTGGGATCGCGCTCGGTCGCATTTTTCCATTGATGCTGAAGAGCGCATCTCTAACCCTCCCACAGAGCAGTGATGATCCGCAAAGCGCTTCCAACTCGGCCTCGGGCCTGGTCACGACCTTGGTCCCCTCTTTGATCTCTGCCGCGGCCATGGTAATCATCTTCATTATTTTGCGACGCAGTGAAACTCGCATGTACATGCCCCGAACCTATCTGGGTGTTCTGCGCCCCTCGGAGCGTACTCCTGCTTCTCCTACTGGCCTCTGGAATTGGATTTTGCAAATGTACCGGCTGCCCGATGAATATGTCTTGCAGCATCACTCCATGGATGCCTATCTCCTCCTGCGCTTCCTGAAGGTTGTGTCGATGATTTGCTTCGTGGGAGCTTGCATGACCTGGCCTATCCTGTTCCCGGTCAATGCAACGGGCGGCGGCGGCGGTCAGCAATTAGACATGCTGAGCATGTCGAACGTCAGCGCCGATAAGTATGCTCGCTACTTCGCTCACGCATTCATTGCATGGCTCTTTGTCGGTGTGTACTTCTGTAAAGTATGGCTTGGGGGTGTCCGTCACTAATGATATTGCTAGGCTTCGTCTTCTACACGATCACTCGCGAATGCCTGTTCTACATTAATCTGCGCCACGCTTACGCCCTCGCTCCGGCATATGCCAGCCGTCTCTCGTCTCGCACCGTGCTTTTTACTGCGGTCACCGAAGATTACTTGAGCCGCGAAAAGATTCGACAGATGTTTGGTCCCGAGAAGGTGAAGAATGTCTGGCTTACGACCAACACCAGCGAATTGGACGATAAGGTTGCCGAGCGCGAGGACGCTGCGATGAAGCTCGAGGCGGCGGAGACGAAGCTCATCAAATTGGCCAACGCTGCTCGCCTGAAGGCCCTCAAGAAGCAAGGGTCCGTGGAGGAAGGCCAGAACGCAGGCGATAGCCTTTGCGACGATGACGATGAGTCCGGCTCGGTTGCAGCTCGCTGGGTTCGACCCCAAGACCGCCCTACCCATCGGCTCACATTCCTGGTCGGTAAGAAAGTTGATACCATCAACTGGGCGAGATCTGAGATCGAGCGTCTTCAACCCGAGATCGAGGAACTTCAGGCCAAACACAGGGAAGGTAATGCGGACCTGGTGTCGTCTGTCTTCGTTGAATTCCACGCCCAGGCCGATGCTCAGCAGGCTTTCCAGTCTGGTTAGTGTTCCATGTCGTCCATCTTTTGTGTCCAGCTATGCTAACTCGCGCACAGTGGCCCACAACTACCCCCTGCACATGGCGCCTCGTTACATCGGCCTGGAGCCCACCCAGGTCATCTGGTCCAACTTGCGCATCAAGTGGTGGGAGCGACTCGTTCGTTACTCTGTGACCATCGCATTTGTTGTCGCTTTGATTGTCTTCTGGGCCATTCCCACTGCCGTGGTTGGCTGCATCTCGAACATCAACTTCCTGACTGAGAAGGTTCCTTTCCTTCGCTTTATCAATGACGTTCCAAGCTGGATTCTGGGTGTTATCACGTCTCTTCTGCCTACGGTCTTGATGTCCGTACTCATGGCCTTGCTGCCAATTATCCTCCGATGTAAGTTGCAACCCTAGGCCTCCATGTATGTGAAGTCTGAGCGCATTCTCATCTGTCTATAGTGATGGCCAAACTCGGTGGCGCTCCCAGCTTGGCTGCCGTGGAGTTGACTACACAAAACTTCTATTTCGCATTCGAAGTCATCCAGGTTTTCCTGGTTGTCACTATTTCATCTTCCGCCTCCAGTGTCGTCTCCGATATTATCAACGATCCCACTTCCGCTGCGTCTCTGTTGGCTGAAAAGATTCCCACCGCTTCGAACTTCTACATCTCGTACATCATCCTGCAGGGGTTGTCTTTCAGTGCCGGTGCTCTGCTGCAGATCAGTGGACTGATCCTCGGCAAGGTCCTGGGTCGGCTCCTGGACAACACCCCGCGAAAGATGTACAGCCGTTGGTCCAACCTTGCGGGTCTGGGCTGGGGAACTGTGTATCCTATCTTTACCCTTCTCGCTGTCATCGGTAAGTAACTGTTCGTTAAGGATGTTGGGAACGGCCAGCTGACAATACATACAGCTATCGTCTACTCGTGTATTGCACCCCTCGTGCTCGGGTTCGCCACCATCGGTCTTTACCTCTTCTACTTCGCCTACCGCTACAACATGCTGTATGTGTCGAACGCCAATATTGACACCCAGGGCAAGGCCTACGTCCAGGGTCTGAAGCACCTGACTGTGGGCTGCTACCTCCTGATGGTCTGTCTGATTGGTCTCTTCGCCATCGCTACCGCTGCCGACAGCATTGCCACTGGACCCCTGGTCCTCATGATCATTCTGCTGATCTTCTGTGTTCTCTACCACATCGCCCTCAACAATGCCCTGGAGCCCCTGATCCACTACCTGCCCAAGAACCTCGAGTCGGAGGAAGAAGCCCTGCTGTCTCGCGAGCAGACCAAGGTGAGCCAGTCCGGCGAGGCGTCGGATGACGCCGCCGCCGGCGGCTCCAAGGCACGCGACAGCGGCGTGGCCAACATCGACTCCGCCGAACGGGGTCTGACCTCCGACGAGCCCCAGGCTAAGCCCAACTTCCTGCTCCGGTATCTTCGTCCCGACAGGTACGACAGCTATGCGCACATGCGCCGCCTGGTTCCTAGCGGACAGGAGATCACCAAGTATGACCCCGAGGTGGAGCGGGACGCCTACTTCAACCCGTCCATCAAGGCACAGGCTCCTCTGCTCTGGATTCCTCGCGATGAGCTCGGTGTCAGTCGCCAGGAGGTCAAGCACACCTCCCGGGTCATCAAGATCACCGACGAGGATGCCTGGCTGGACGAGAAGAACCACATCTGCTGGGACTTGGACAAGGGTGTTCCTCCGATCTTCAAGGAGAAGGTTTACTACTAGATACCCAGACGCAAGGAAAAGAGAAAAGAAAAATGATGTGTATGGATATTCTACCGACTGTTGGATGATAATGGTGATGGTGATGGTGATGGGAGAATAGTTTACAGAGAACCTTGATACCCACGGATTTGGAGGCCATAAGAGTATATGGCTGGCTTCTGGAAGATAAAGATAATACGGATGTTCATGTTTTATTTCTAATTATACAAACTAATCATGAGTTTTAAGTGTTGAGAAGAAGAAGAAATGGCCGTGATGTTTACATATATACAAGGTTACTATAAATATCACATAATGACTGGTTGTGCATTAAAATCTCCCTACTATTACCTCGACTAACCTACTATTAACTATCACCATTACAATAACTGATAAAATTACTCCCCCTCACCAGGATGAACCATCTCCCACCCCCTCCTCACCCCATCCCTCCTCTTCATCCGCTCAAACCACAGCCTCAACCAAGGAAGCAACCTCAGATTAAACTCATATTGACTCGCCGCCGCGACATACGGGAAATGCACTAGATCAGCCACCGTACTATTATCATATCACCATCAGCCATCAATCACCCTACACCTTCCTCTCCACACAAAGTAAAGAAAAGAATTGGACAGGACAGGGAAAATACCACTTCTCCCCAGCCAACCACCCACTTCCCTCACCCCACCTCTGCCGATTCAAAGCCAGCTCCAGAAGGCGATATAGATCGATTAACCTTTCCCTGAAGGGGCGATCCATCAATGTATGCGCTGTTAAAATAATAGGTGTGGTGTGTTTATTCGATCCAGTCTCGGTTGTCACTGGGGGTGATTGTTGTTGTTGATGCTCAGGTTCAGGGTCGGTGCTTCCCATCCAGAATTCTAGCTTCGAGCAATGCTCTTCCACTGCTGCTTGTTCGAGAGTATTTGGTGGGTATGTGATGTGGTGATTGTCCTTGTCGTAGTTACTTAGGAGGTAGGTGGTTATGGAGGAGAGGGTTTGTAGGGGAGGGTCGTGGTTGGGGCGGTTGGTGTCTGTTAGGGTTGTTGGTGGTGGTGGTGTTGGTGTTGGGGATGAGAACGAGAATGGGGAATCATGGTGGGTGTGGCTGTCGCTGTGGCTGTTGGGGAGGAGGTTGAGGGTATAAGGGAGACTGAGTTCTTCGAGGATGATGGCGATGGCGGTGCCGGTGATGGAGGCTTTGGGGGTGGTGAGGGTGATGGTGCTGGTGCTGGGTTCTTCGGTGAGGTCCATTGTATGCTACTATTGTATCGTCGTAGGTAATAGGCTGTGAATTGTTGGAGTGGGGGAGGAGAGAAAAGCAGGGAAGGAATAAGTCGGATAGTAGTATAGATGCATTGCAGATGGAGATGTAATCATGATACTGATCTGGGGGAGGGGGGGAATCGTGCTTGACGTCACAGAGATACTATAGAAAGGGAAAAGTTCAGGAACTGGTTTGGGATTACAGGAACTGGTTAATTTTAGAAGTCGGTGATACAGAGTTACATTATGTCACTATGCCTGTGATGCGTGTCTGGATGTATTTTCAATTCCAGTGTTTGTTTTAAGTTCCCTGCATCCATCTCAATGTAGTATCTTCAGTCTGCAATCTATTGGATGGGATTAAATAATTGCAAAGCCGAGGTGTCACACCCAAAAGAATAGAAATGTAATTAAAATGGGCGGGTCTGGCCACCGCGAGCTTATGGCCCGCCCCACCAATCACAAACGATGGCCGGGCCTGGCTCGGTCGTCGTGCAGGCCGGCACTCTCCCTGTCGGCATTTGATTGGCTGGGATTGACAGTTTCGGCCGGCGGAGAACGCGGCGTCATCAAGCCGTTACGTTTGCCGTTTTGGCCGAAAAGGGTCTGTCTGTCTAGTTTGCAATTCTGCAAGATTGCACACCCACAATTACCATCGCCCCCCTGTGAATAATTCCTGAGCAAACATACATCTCTGATCAACATCTCTGGCCCTCCCAGATGAACCATGGTTTGACTGTCAGATCCGCCACCATCGCCGTGCCTGTGTGACTTGTGTGACTTGTATCCCCCCCGGAGGGGTTGCGCTATAAGTATCCGATTGTACTCCCCCACACCGGCCAGGGGAATAAAGCAGGATTCGGCAGCAGTAACAGACTCCCAACCCCACGCGATCATGATGCAGCCCACCCCTGTTCCTCGCGACATCCTCATCGTTGGCGCCGGCATCGCGGGTCTGGCCAGCGCCATCTCTCTCGCCAAGGAACTGGCTTCCTCCATCCCCGACCTCAAAATCTCCGTCTTCGAAGGCGCGCCAGGACTATCTGCTTCAGGGGGCGCCATCAGTCTGACCCCAACGGCGCAAAATTATCTCGACAAGCTGGGCGTCTTGTCCGAACTCAATCGCATGGGCAGTGAAGCCGGCATCGAAGTCGATCTCATTGAACTCTTCTCCCTCCGCTCAGGTCGCAGACTTGGGCCCCTCAAATTTACCGACGAGAATGGCTTCGGTTACGGTGGCTACAAGGGCCGTCGAGTCATGCGAAACGCCCTCTCGCGCGCCATGTTATCCGTCATCCAAAACCACCTTCCTTCGGTTTCCGTCTACTTCAACAAGAAAGTGGTAGGCGGCACCACAACCGACTCCTCCGTCACCTTATCTTTCGAAGATGGATCCTTCGCTACCGGAGATCTTGTTCTGGGCTGCGACGGAGTCCACTCTATCACGCGCACTCGCATTGTCGATCCCGGCAACCGCTCCGAATACACCGGCATCTCCTTCATCCAGAGCGTCTCCGACGCCCACGATCTCCCAGTCCCCATGCATTTCAACCAGACCGCCATCCACCTCACCCGCCATAGTTCCCTCCTTACCAGTTACTGCGACCCTGATCGCCAGAAGATCTTCTCCGCCGCCATCCTTCGCGTGAATGAACACCTCATTGAGCGCTACCAAGCTACTTCGAAAAGCGATTGTCCCGAACAAGCCAGCATGAAGATGTCCATTCGCTATCTGGTGCGCACACAGTTCGCCAAATCCGCCCTCCCTAGCATCCGCGCACTCCTCGACCACACTGAAGATTGGGCCTTGTACCCGGTATATCAGGTCCGGCAACGAGGGAAATGGCACAAGGGACGGATTCTTCTTCTTGGGGATGCTGCGCATGCGGTAAGCCATAACCTAACACCCATACTTTACTTTTTGAAGCAGATATTGATCATCGAATATAGATGCCTCCCCGCGACGAATCCGCCGCATACTCCATCGAAGACGCCCTCATCTTCACACAAATTTTCTCCCGCAACCTGCACGCCCCTCTCGCCACCACCTTTCAAGAATACGAGTCCCTGCGCCGCGAGCTCGTCAACAAAGTCTTTGACGCCTCCCGCCGTCTCTGGCAAAGTGATCTCGACAAGGGACTGTTTCCGGGCCATGTACGCGAACTCATGTCGCCGGTGCACATGTCGCCGGGAGGTTGTGTCCCGGCGCCAACGACAACGATAGCATCAGCGAGGCCGGGCATTCCAGCGGCCACGCATCAGAGTTTCTCGGATCTGTCGGTGTACTCGTTGACCCGGGAATTCCAAGGGGAGATCGAATCCTAGTTGATCTGAGCTATGAATAGATACGAGGACGGCATATAGAGGTGTTCACAAGGTCCTTACTTCGGGTTTATGTTCTCGTGCGGGTACGCAATGTTTATTCTTTCACACGGATGGATCATAGAAAGGTATGGGATCTGGAATGGGACAGGACAGGACAGGACAGGACATATGGCTAGAAACGAGCGTTACGACCACACTACAAGCGATGATAATACTTTTCTTTTGAACAAACTACACCTTTCTTCATTCCTTAGTGACTTCTATATCACCCCCGTATTTAATATCAACAACAATCTTCAAACCACTCATCCTCCAAAATCTGCCCCACACTCGGCCTATCCCTCGGATCCAACCTTATAATCCTACACACAAACTCCCTATCCTCAGTGTCTTGCTGTTTGATGCATGCAGTAGATCATTGTCGAGATGCTTTAGGATGAGAGCTGGTGGGCCCGGAGGGTCTTCGACTTCATCTAGGAGTGGTCGGATATGTGGACATTGGTGCTGAAAGCGACAGATAACCTCTCTTTCGGTCTTGAGACGAAAGTGTTGTACGCTCTTCACGATGACTGGTTGCTTGTGGGATTGGGAGCTTTATACATTCATTCCAGGAGTAGGGATTGATGGAATTGTGGGAGGGATGTGAGTGGATATTTTACGTTGCTAGCCAGATACTTTCTTGGAGTCGCTTGGTAATGGTATAGAGATTTCCTCTCTTGGTCTTTAGTCGTGTACCTATTGTTATTGGGGAGATGGCCATCTCTGAACTAGCTGAGCTTAGCTGTGTAAATGAAGTAGAATAATTGGAGGATTGAATGTAGATCTAGAAGGATGGAAGTGATCCACCGTGGCGTCACCGCCCGGACGTGCCTGGTTTTCTGCCGTCCATTTTTTCCGTTTATCAATAGATCCCCGAAATCCGTTGCTTCTCCGTTCACCTCCCTCTCATCCTCCCATTCTCCCTCCTTTTGTCTTATTTATTTTCCCATCTTCATTGGTTTAATAGATATTTTTTTGTTTTTAATTGTTTCCCTGTTACCATTTCACTCTTCCTAAGCTCCTCATCATGCTGGGCGCTTTCCGCCGTTCCGCCGGCGCCGTCCATGCGCTGCGAGCTTCACGATCTCTGCTGGCCAGATCGATTCCTCAGCAACCCCAATGGCTCTCTGCTTCAGCGCCTGCGGTCTCATACGGTGCTCGCGCCCTCTACCACCCGTCTCCGGCTTTTCTTGATGCCAGAGCAGCAGCTCAGGCACAACTCAATGTCGCCGCCGACATCGAGCCCCGGCTACCCAGTACCGATTTCCACAGCCTGGCACAAGACGGCCTGGTCAACGACAGACTGATCCGAACCGTGACAAATTCCATGAAGATTCAAACCATGACTGATGTCCAAGCCAAGACGATCCGTGAAACACTGAGCGGCGATGATGTGTGAGTAGTTCCTCGTCTCTGCCTCCCTTCTTTCATCCTCTTGCATGGCGGCTGACCTTGATTTTTCTTCCCATACAGCTTGGCACAGGCAAAGACCGGAACCGGAAAGACCCTTGCGTTCTTGATCCCCGTCATCCAGCGCCTTCTCAATGATCCGTCGATCAAACGCTCGCGTCCCGGATACCGGGGGAGAAATTCACCCGACATTCGGGCGATTGTCATCTCTCCGACTCGTGAGTTGGCAGAACAGATTGCCAACGAGGCACAACGCTTGGTGTCTGGATTGGGTTTGGCCGTGCAGACGGCAGTTGGCGGCACTCAAAAGAGATTGCATCTAAACAAGATCCGGACCGAGGGCTGCAATATCTTGGTTGGAACTCCTGGTCGTCTGAAGGATCTTCTTTCCGATCCCTACAGCGGTGTCAAGGCGCCGCAGCTTCAAGCTCTCGTCTTCGACGAGGCTGACCGCTTGTTGGATGATGGCTTCTCGCAAGAGATCGGTGAGATCAAGGACCTCCTGCCAGCACCCGAGGAGGTCGACCGCCAGACCCTGATGTTTTCCGCCACCGTACCAGGTGAGGTTATGGACATGGTGCGTCAGACTATGAAGCCTGACTTCAAGTTCATCAAGACTGTTATGGAGGATGAGGTGCCCACCCACTTGCGGGTGCCCCAGAAGGTCGTCTACCTGGATGGCTTCCAGAACGGCTTGCCTGCTATTCTGGAGCTGGCAAAGAAGGGTTACGCTGAAAACTCGCATTTCAAGGCCATTGTCTACCTGAACGCAACGACGATGGTCTCGCTGGCCAACGACGTTTTCCGGCGGCTTCAGAATGATCCTGAGGATCGTACCAAAGGACATGCTCTTGGCCGCCTCCCTATCTACCAAATCCATTCGCGGCTGACTCAGGCGCAAAGAACTCGTGTCACGAGTACTTTCCGCAGCGCGTTCCGCGGCATTCTCTTCTCCTCCGACGTGACAGCCCGTGGTTTGGATTTCCCCGACGTCACGCACGTCATCCAATACGGACTTCCCAACGAGCGTCAGACCTACATCCACCGCGTGGGGCGCACGGGCCGTGCGAACAAGGAAGGTGAGGGCTGGATCTTGCTGCACAAGAACGAGAAGCGTGCCTTCAAACAGATATTGGGCGACCTGCCTATCGAGGAGGATCAGACCTCGGTTCCCGTTGCGCATATCAACATGCGCGAAGAGATCGAGGATGATGGCTCAGAGACGAGCCGAACTCTACAACAATACAAGTTTGCCGCGCAGGAGGTTCCCATCGACGATCGAGTGGAGGCATGGAGGTCCCAAGCGGGTACCATCATAGGCAAACTCCAACCTCTGTCGGCGACCCTGCCTGCCATGCATGACCTGTGCACGTACGGATACTTGCTGCCCAAGCCTCCGCAGCTCCCCTTGAGGATCCAACAAGCTCTGGAGAGGGGCGACAAGCCCCCTCCGAGGTCCAAGCGTGGTGGACCCCGCGACTTCAGGTCCCGGGATTCCTACAAGCCCCGTTCCAGTGGTGGCTACAATGACCGCTATAATGACCGCTACCAACACTCTTCATCCCGCGATTCCCGCAATCCTTGGAACGAGAGAGGCTCCTCTCGTGGCCGTCGCGAGGGCCGTCGCGAGAGCCGCTCCTACAACCGCTACTGATCCCGGTGCTTGAGTCCAGTATCATTAACGCTCTTCGATACCCTTCCTATGAAACGCAGCCCTGCTAAAATTGACCTTTGAAAACGGCTTGTTATAATAGTGCCGCATATCTATTCGGGGATGAGCTCTTCCTTTCTTCTTCTTCTCATTGTGGTTGGACTGCGTGCAATATGTTTCTTTTAAAAATGTGTTCGATATGTGATCGACTTGTATACTACATAACAGATACCACGTGAATATGGCATAGTCTCTACTCTAGATATAAGATATACTTGTATAATATGATGGAAATTCCAACATACGACCCTATCATTATCACCTCGTATGACGTAGGAGATAAATCAGAAGATGGTCTGCTTTCCAGTCCTCGTAAAGTGACCACTTGCGACGAGATCGTAGGATTGGCTTAAACCAATTCTAGTACCATACTATATCGTATAGTCCTACTACTTATATTGAATGAAACCACTGTAAACAGAATAAAATGCTTTTGATCTATCCATAACCCCAAGACAGTCAGTCCTAATATACATATATACATGCTGCCTTCTATATCCAATAAAATAAAACCATAACAATCGCTATCGAAAGCATCATTAAGCATCCTCCCCATTCTTCATCTTCTCACTCTCCGCCTTCTTCGCCGCAAACCTCTCCCTAGCCAACTCAATCTTCGACTTCGGCTTCTGACCTCCCTCACCACCAACATCCAGTCCCTTGGCCTTGGCCGCCCACTCACCCCTGCGACGCTTATACAAGTCCATAGACCAATTGCGCCACACGGCACGACCGACAAACGAATCCCTCAGAGCCATTTCACTCCGCGCCAGTTCCTGCGCCATGCGCTCCTTGACGAAGAACACGTCCTTCGTAGCATGCCAGAGGGCATCCACGACGCGGGATCCGCTGCTGTCCAGGGCCAGTTCTTCGAGATGGCCTGTGAAGCGGCCGGTGAATTGGCGGCGGAATTGTGGCGTCGAGGTGGGCAGAGTGAGGGACTTTTGGATGACGTGGGAGGCGGTGGGGTCTTTGGCGATGGTGAGGAGAGATTCGGGCGTTTGGGAGAGGAGGCTGCTGTAGACGAGGGCGCTGAGGGGGCCCGGAGCTGTGAGGATGGTTTGCACGAAGAGGGAGTTGTGGAGTTTGGCGCCCTTGGGGTTCGTGTTGATGTTGGCGTTGGCGTTGTCGGGGTCGAAGTTGGGCATTGCGGGGGGTTGTGGGTGGTCTTCGTCTTGGTCTTCGTTTTGGTTTTGTTGGGGTTGGGGTTCAGAGGGGGTGGTGGTGTCCTCGAGAGTGAGCATTTGGGCCAGTCGCTTGGCCGGGTCGCTGTCGTAGGCGGTTTCGAGGGAGCGTGCGATTGGGGTGGTGTCGACGCCGCGGACGATGCATCGCTCGACTAGTGTCTTGGGGACGATGACGCGGGAGCGCTCGATGAGGTTGGGGATCTGGGGGACGAGGAGTTCCACGGCGTTCTCGAGGTCGTCTTTTCCGAGACGTTCTAGGACTTTGAGCACGACGTAGCCGGCTGTGATGTTGCGCGACAGGGAGCGGAGTTGGTCGCGCAGGAAGTTCTTGTAGAGTCCCTTGAATAGCTTGCCCGGCATGTATCGGACGATGGTCTCGAGCAGGCGGGATCCCACGGGGTCGTAGAGAAGGCCGCGGATGAAGGTGGTGCTTTCTGTGCCCTCTTCGAAGGTGTCGTCGGGGATCAGTCGGCGGATGATCGACTTGGGGTCCTTCGCGCTGGCCTTTCCGAAGTGGGAGAGCTCCAGGTATACGAGGACTTGGAGGACTGGGTTTCCGACGGGGTGGGTGGCAAGTGCGCGAAGATAGGTGTCGTCGAGCACAGAGACCATATCCTGCATGACCTTCTTCAGGGTGCCCTCGAATGATTCGGGCACGCTGCGCTTCTGCGCAACCGGGTTCTCGTCCTGCACTTCGTTGAGGACGCCGTGTCTTTCCTTCTTGCGACTAGCAACGACCGAGTCGCTCAAGGACAGATCGACAGGCTCACCTGCCAGCACCAGAAGAAGAACGCGAATGGTGTGCGACGCAAAACGCTCCGTCAGCAGGTATCCCCAGTTTCCTTCCAGCTCCTCGATGACCTTCATGAACATCTCCGCTAGCGACAGTTCGGGTTCGGGCTCGTCTCCATCCTCGGCGTCGGTCTTGCTAGCCTTCTTGGATGGCTTTTGCGACACTCCTGGTGCAGCGTGGATGAACAGAGTCTCGCAGCAATGACTGGCGAATCGGTGCTGGACCAGGTGCAAGAAATGTCCGATGAATTTGTTGAACAGTCTCCGGATCTGGCGTATGTCCGACATCGAGATCAACTTCTCCATGAGTCGCGAACAGGACTGACTGCACGAGATCTTCAATTCCTTGCCCTCGGCCTCCTTGTAGACACTCTCGACGAAGACTCGTCGCTCCTCCGCATCTCCGAACTGGTTGGTCTCCAACACCTCGTTTGCACGCGAGAAGTATTCCTGCTCCTCGGGATCGAGAAGACCATAGAAGGGCATATCGCCCGTCTGCGCCATCTCCTCGTCCTGTTGCTGTCCATCGTCCAAAGCAATATAGTCGGCACCGTTAACGATGTCGTTGGTCTCGTCCTCGGAAGGTTTCACTCGTTTGGGCACGACATCTTCGGGGGCGTCGTCGCGCTTCCGCTTGCTGGCTTCCTTGTTGGCTTTTTCGGTGGCGCGACGGCCTCTCTTGACCTTTTCACGAGGCATGATGTGACGATGTGCAATTGGGAGTTGAAGGGGGAAGTTTTCTTCTCGCCGATTCGCTTTTTTTCTGCGTTTTTCCCGCAATCGATAAGCGGTGGTCCGAGCGTCTTCCACCGCAGTTTGTCTTGTTTGCATTGCTTCTACTCCCCAGAGCAACTTTCACTTGGCGATAACTTTCTCATGGCAACTTTGGTAACAAGAGAAAGAGATTGACATCGAATACTCAGTGGATATTAAGTTTCAGTCATTCGTGCGCCGCATCTGTCATGTCACTCGAATTGAACTGACTGCAGAGCTGCTGCGGAACTATACAGTGCCAGTCCGTTCGATTGCGGACAATATAGATAATGGACACACTACAAAGATAGCTAATCTGACTACAATAAGGAAGAAAAAGGCCAAGAACAAAACTGATCAATTCCTCAAATGCTTACAAAAGCACATCTCAAAATCTCACTGAACTTCTAGCAGACACCGATGTCCCTTTGTTGATAGAAGGAAATGCAGAACCTGCTCCATGTCCTCATCGCTCATCCCTTCACGAGATGATACCTCGGATCGGGGAAATTGGCGGAAGAAATGAGCAGTAGCCAAGCGCAGCTCTATCCGAGCCAGATGCAACCCAAGACAGTCTGTTACAGTCAGGTTAGTTGCTGGCGGACGCTCTCCTAACTGTTGACAATCGGCACTTACTACGTGTCCCTACTCCGAATGGCATAAATGCATCTTTCATCTCCTTGGTTGGTGAAGCCCAACGGGAAGGATTGAACCTATACGAGTAGAGTAAGCAACTCCGGTTTTGATCAGCCCGGGGGCGAATGCTTGGACCACCTACTTCTCGGGTTCCGGGAACGCGACAGGATCACGATGCAAGCTCCAGAGTTGCGTCGTTACAGTGCTCTCTCCGGGGACCCAGTGACCACCGAGTGTTGCCCCCTGTGGTGGAGCAACGCGAGGGAGAGCACAAGGGACAGCGGGATATAGGCGCAAGGCTTCATCAATGACCTGGTTCAAATAGGTCAACTTCCGGATATCCTTATCAGAAAATCGTTCGGGCAGTGTGGCCACCTCGGCAACAAGTGCTTGCCGGATGACTGGTGTCTTGCAGACTGCCCAGGTGAGATAGGTCAAAGTGTTGGCGGTGGTGTCACTCCCAGCAACGATGAGGTCAGTGGCATCGTCGCGGATTTCAGCGTCAGACAATCCTTCCTTGCCACCGTTGTAGAGTTTTGAGAAAAGCGTGGGCTTGACGTTGTCTGGACTAGCGTCTAGCAGCCTTTTGTACCGATTGATGGACTCGTCAGCATAGTCCACGAATCGATTTCGGCTCTTGTTAGCCTCCCTGAGGAGAGGAAGCGGCAGGAACTCCGCGAGCCTGAAAAGCCAAGGGAAAGCAACTCGAGACTCCCCGACCAAGGCCGCTATCTCTAGGTCTTTGATGTGTAGATTTTTCTGCACAGCTTGGTCAACACACGTCAAGAAGCTCAATCGCGATAGGCTATAATACTTTGCCTTGCTCCAACATCCGAAACGAGTCCCCGAAGGACAGTTCACCGATAATGTCACTGGACATGAAGAAAAACCACTTTTGGACATCTGCCACCTTACGGGTGGCCATCTCCTCTTGCATGCGTTGCATAGTGAAGCGGATGCGGGCCTCTATCAAGGGCTCCAGCGAATGCAAGTTTGCATCTGCGAAGGGCGACGAAAGGAGCCTGCGATGTTTACTGTGGAATTTGGGATCAGTAGCACTAAAAACACTTTTTGCATTGTCGTGCTTGAGAAGTTCGTACACTGGCGACTTCAGGAAGCCACTTCCTATGCGATGGATCTCCCGAACCCCAGCAATGTCAGCAATGTCGACTGCGTTTGGGCCAACCCGGACGACAGGACCTACATCAGGGCACGCAATTAGCGCTGAGGATGCTTCTTTCCAGCGAGATACCCTTACCATATTGTCGATGTAGCGCTTGCACATATCGTGGCCGGTTCCCTATGACCGTTTGATATCTGACGAAGATATCCGTCCACTTGCACAGGAAGGGGCCGGGGACCGATGACAATGGGTTCCTTCGTTCGCGGTAAATATTCTACTCGCTTGCACGTTTAGCCTCAAACTGCCACGCAGAAACAGCAGTCAACTTACAATTACGATATAGAGGATGAAGGAAAGAAAAACCAAAGCCGGACCATGGCCAGCCACGAAACTCGACCCCATCGCGCTTGCTGGCTGAAGAAATGGTGGATCCTTAACGAACTAGTGTTACGAGCGACCGTTAATCCTCGATAGATTCTCTTTATCATGCAGAAGGAAGGTAAGCTAGCATTCCGGACCGCTTTCTCAAAACATTGCTGAAACATGGGACGTGCGATGAAGTGATATTAAGTACAACCGAAAACGGACTGCAACCGAAGCTTCTACCAGATAACAGTACATCAAAACCTCCAACAGCCAATAAGGGAGTACAAGCTTATGAACTAGCTCATGCTCTATGGTTGTGCGAGGGAGCGACTATCTCAGATTGTCCGCGGATAGAGCAGCCGAGAACCTGACGCAAGGTGCAGGGCAATCGCAGTGTTGAGATGAACTGGATGACCATCATCCATTGGGCTCCGCACTCAGTGCCTTCTTGATGAACTTGGATTTACCCCGAACCATCCCAGCGGTGTAACTTCCTGGCGTAATGTACTTGCAGTTTGCTGCATACCTTGCATATCAGCAGTTACACTGGTGAACTGGCTGCCATTGAGGCAGCCAGGGATCGACATCACAGATGATGTGGCACGACAATGCCATTATTGAATGTGGAATAGAAGCCAAACCTTTGAATGCTCACTGATTAGATAAAATCGGTCACCACTGAGCCGACCGTCGTTCATCTTTAGTGATGGCCGCCAAGTGGCACCGTTTGAAAACCCTATCTCGACCGCATCCGGCGACTAAACACAACCCTCAACCAGGAGAACGACAGCACCATCACACAAACCTAATTATTTGCCATGGCCTGGCTGACAGTCGCGTTCCCGAACGACTCAACTTTAATTATCCCCCCCAACTGTTCATACTTTGGGTCGCGAATCTCATCCGAGCTCCCCATTGGCTCGCGGGCGGTTCCGAGCATCATCGACTTGCCCTGGATACAACCTTGCAATCGCTGGCCAGCGTCATCGATCCGTCAACTTCCGGATACCGTAGCTTGTTCGCTGTGCTATGACCCCTGTTACAATTTACTCTGATGTTGTCTCATCCCTTTCCCTCCGCTGCTGCTCGGTCGCGATGCATGCGCGGCTTCAAGGCATCAGCAGAAGTTGTTGACAGGAGCTCAAGCCAATCAAGGTGATCCGGAGTGTCTCAATTGACACGACTAATTGGCTTGCGATGCCTCTGCTGTACGTGCGGGCTGTAGTCCCCTTTGAGGCCGGGGCGAATGCCACCGATGTGCTCATCAACGAGGTCCATTTCAATCGAACCGCGTTAAATTACTATCACTACACGCTTTTCAGCAATGGGACTCTCTCCAATGGTACGGACTGCTATCTCGCCTTTAATCAATTCCAACCACACATGAACGAGAATGGGACATTCGTGAACGGGACCTCCTGTTATGCACCCATTCGGGATATGGGTCGACATGCGTCGGCCGGCCTGGCTTTTGCCTTCATGTTTGTCTTCGCCATTGTTTTCACCTTGATCAACATGCGCAAGCATAGCCGGCGGTACCTGCCTGCTGATCGCCGGTGGACACTCCTGGGCCGTCGGGCGAAATGGATCTGGATGCTTTTCATTGCCGCCTGCGGCACCATTAGCTGCTTCATGAGCATCGACGTGGATCGGGGGTACATCGTGAGCGTCCCGTTGATTCTGCAGAGTGTGTTCTACACGCTGTTGACGCCGGGGATGATGGCCGCGGTATGGGAGGCGGTGCGGCACTGGTCAGTGATGATAATTTGCATCTCCAGTCTGGTGGAACAGAACTGACACGAATTGCAGGGGCTCCTGGCAAGAGCGACAGATCTACGATCGGGATCCGTACGCATTTCAAGTATCCAGCAGCCGGCAAGGGCAGGAGTTTGTGCTCCCGCTCGTCTTTTACGGATGCGCTTTGGCCAATTTTGTCTTGACCGTTCCGCGCTCCTGGACTGCCATTGAGATGCAACGCAGTCTCGACCAACAGCTCAATGAAGCCAAGCCAGTGGCTACAGATGTACGATGGCGTGCTGCCGGATTTGTCGCAATAGCTGGCGTCTTAGTGATCTGCTACAGCCTGGAGCACAGCATCTACCGCTACCGGGCGCGACCGACCAGTACCATAGGTCAGCTCTTATTCTACCTGAATGCGGCTCCATCGCAATTCCTTATAGCTATTGTGTTGCTTGGCATAAAGATCGGCTACGCTATTGCTTCTGCCTTCGACTGGACGATATCCCCCTTGAGATACGGGGTCGATTCTGGATGGTTTTACGGGCTGGGATACACACCGGTGCTGCTCTTGCTCATTCTGTTCAACATCTGTGGATTCTGTGAGCTGAATGAGGATAAAGCCTTGATCGTGCAGCGAGACGAATTCGACCATGCAGTTGCCGATGCTGTGGGTGTCGGGCAGAGGAAGCCCAGCTGGTGGAAGAAGAGCCGTACCTTCGTTCGAGAGCTTAGTGACCATCACCGACGCCAGGGCTCGCAGCAAGACGATCGTGATATGGGTCGGTTTGTGGAGATGGGGATCATCAAGCCACGAGAGCAACCGCAGGATGACGAACCCAAGCCAGAGACATGGGTGACGACGCGGACTGCCAGTCAGGGTAGTGAGTCGACTACGGTGGCGCATACGGAGAGCAATCCGGAGAGCAGCCCAGCGTATGTCGAGTATACATTGCAGCAAGAATTGTCTCGGGATTCTTCTAATGAGACAGATGTACATGGGCGCCCACAGACTGGGAGGGACATATTGGGATAAGAAGAGAACAAGCCTGGAGGAATACGGATGACATTGGAGGAAGTAGATTGTCAGTCAGTTTGAGATGTATTATGAGTTGATGATTATGTAGGCCAGATAAATAATATATATGGAAGCCAATGAAATGAGATTATCCACAGGTGGTGATACCCATGCAGATTATAGATAATTGCACGTGACCCTATGATTGCATGTTTGCTCGGTTTGCCTCACTGCCTCCCATCGTAAAGCTTCAAGTCATCCTCCATCACCCACTTCACTGCAATTGCTCAGACAGACCACAATTCGCGTCTAGATAACCCAAAGACAAAGCAGCGAGCAGGTCTTGCACACCATAATACCCCTCAGTGATTCTACCCACCCGTCCTTCCAACTCACAACATGGAACCCGAAAAGCGCAAATACGCCGCCGGGCCTTCCCTGCCACCCACCAGCGAAGATGACTCCAGCAAACGCCGCAAAGTGATCGGTCCAGCTCCCCCTCCTCCCTCCGCCAGCGCAAACGCCAATACCTCCGACAACAGCTCCTCTGATGACGACTCGGACGATGACTTCGGACCCAGCCTCCCTCCGCCAGAAGGCACCGTCTCTTCTGTTCCCGACAGCGGCGCAACACAGCCCGCCCGCTCTGAAACTACTTCAGAAGCACCAAAAGCACCTCAGCGCGATGCCTGGATGCTCGAGCCCATCGATGGCTCGAACCGCAACTCCCGTGTCGACCCCACGAAACTCCGCAATCGGAAATTCCAAACCGGGCGGGGAGCCAACACTACGCCCAGTGCGGGCGGGCTAGATGTTTCCTGGACCGAGACCCCAGAGCAGAAGATGAAACGCTTGCAGGATGAGGTGCTGGGTGTACAGACAAGGCCTACTGCTCCTGATGCGGGGGATTCGGCAGGAGGAGCGCGCGGCGCACAGCCCTCGCGGGCCATGCAGGAGAAGATCCATCGGTATAATGAGGAAAAGAGAAAGGAGGAGGCAAAGGCGAGGGATGCAGAAAGGAAGAAGAAGAAGGATGGAGAAGAGGAGGAGGATGATCCTAGTGCTCGGGCGTTTGATAAGGAGAAGGATATGTCGCTATCGTCGAAAATAACGCATGCGCAGAGACGGGAGATGATGAATAAGGCGGCGGACTTTGGGTCGAGATTTACGAGTGGGAAGTTTTTGTGATTGCGCGAAGCTTGTTCAGTATCTTTCACGAGGGTCTTGTCCGACTTGCATCGCATGGTTCGGCCCGTCGTACACAGGTGTCGTACGGGCTATCTGTTTGTTGATCAATTCTACATAGGGCGATGACTGGCGGCCGGAGGCTGGGCAGCTCCTCTATACCAATGATCGTTTCGGACAGGTCAATCCCCCTGATCAGCCAACGTTGATAACAGTTCTCGTTGGATCTGGTAGCAGCACCTGCTGTTCGATATCGAGGCTCACGGTGCCATGCGAAGGACCAGTGATGCCATCCCAGGTGATTGCCGCAGCGCGGTGACATGTTGGAGTTTTAGGGAGTGGAGTAAGGCGATCATGAAAACGTCTTCTAATGTCCTCAGAGGGACAGACAGTAGGCTGATTCGCCGGACTGGGATGGATTGTGCTCTCCGAAAGCCGCCAAGATAGGAAGATCAAGATAACTTTAATTGGCGGCTGGGCTGGTTCGGATGGCGATCCCGCAGATAACATCTGGTGTGATCCTGGGTTACATCCACAGGCTTTGTGTTGTATATAGTTTATGTAAAGGCCATGGAGAAGCCTAGATGAACAAGCTCTATTATCAAAATTAGCTATAATTATTATCACTTACGTAGAGGAAATAGTCAACGGAGCCATTGGTCGCATCTCCGCGGGATGATCGGCTGATCTTATCAGACCATCGATGATGCGGGGAATGTTTCTGCTCCGCCTTGCTTCGGCTTCGTTCCTTGCTTTCATCATCAACTCTCCCCTCTCCTCTCTATTCTTCCCTCCTCATCCTTTCTCCCTCCTCTACAAGTCCACCACCATGAACCTCCGCCAAATAAACGCCCACAACCTCTCCACCTTCCGCCACCACTATGTCTCCGAGATCTCCGGCTCCCTCGGTGACCTGGGCACATTCCTCCCCATCGCCATCGCCCTAGCGGTCAATAACACCGTCTCCCTCTCCAGCACGCTAATCTTCTCCGGCCTCTTCAACATCCTCACCGGCGTCTTCTTTGGCATCCCCCTTCCTGTCCAACCCATGAAAGCCATTGCTGCCGTCGCCATCGCCCGCAGCTTCACAAACGGCTCCATCGCCGCCGCCGGCCTCTTCGTCGCAGCCTTCATCCTCCTCTTCAGCATAACCGGACTCCTCACACGCTTCGCCAACGCCATCCCCATCCCCATCATCAAAGGAATCCAAGTCGGCGCCGGTCTCTCCCTAATAATCGCCTCCTGCAACTCCCTCCTCAGCAACCTCTCCTGGCTCTCCCCATCCTGGGCCGACAACCGACTCTGGGCCCTCGCCGCATTCTGCTTCCTCCTCTCCACCACCGTCTACCGCACCGTCCCCTACGCCCTCCTCGTCTTCCTTCTCGGCCTCCTCTTCGCCATCATCCTCGCCGCCCTGGCCTCCGACCTCCCCTCCCTCTCCCTCTGGCACCCCTACACCGTCCTCCCCACCCCCTCAGACTGGTCCACAGGCATCCTCGACGCCGGAATCGGCCAAATCCCCCTAACAACACTCAACTCCATCGTCGCCGTCGTCCACCTCGCCCATGATCTCCTCCCCACCCACACCAACTCCTCCCACCTCAACGTCACCTCCATCGCCCTCAGCGTCTCCGCCATGAACCTCCTCGGCTGCTGGTTCGGCGCCATGCCCGTCTGCCATGGCTCCGGCGGCCTCGCGGCCCAGTACCGCTTCGGAGCGCGTTCCGGTGCCAGTATTATCTTCCTGGGTGTGTTTAAGCTCGTGATCGGCGTGTTCTTTGGTGAGTCGTTGGTCGGGTTGTTGAAGCGGTTTCCGACGGCTTTGCTAGGTGTTATGGTTATTGCGGCGGGAATGGAGTTGCTTAGTGTGGGCGAGAGCTTGAATACGACGGGCGCGAGGGATATAAGGAAGGCGGTTGCGGGTCAGGCAGGGTTGACCGGGGAGGATTTGGGCCCTATGTTGAGTGATTTTGAGAGGAAGAAGAGGTGGATGGTTATGATGGTTACGGTGGGACTGTTGGTTGGGTTTAAGAATGATGCTGTTGGGTTCTTGGGAGGCTTGTTGTGTCATTGGGCTTTTGGCATTCCGGCCGTGGTGGAGTGGGGGGCGAGGAGGTGGAGAGAAGGGAGAGTGAGGTTGGAGTAGATGTAAATGTTATTTCAGAGGGGAGTGTGGTGAGAAGTGTATATATGAGGGTTGGGGTTGGGGTTTGGTTATATGATATGATGTTGATGATGTGTGATGAAGATATGTTATGATATGTGATTGCATTGCGTGCTGTGATTCTGTGTTTGTCTGCATTTGGAAGTGCTATCCTGCTGTGTACAGCTTGTTTAAGCAAAGATGCTTTTATTTTCTATACTCTATATGATCAGTCTATCTCTATCGCTAGTCTATCTCTCTATACACTATATATGCAACAGCTGTACAGTCATCCCCTGGGCCAGGGTACTGGCCCGAAAACTTCCACAAATCAACACACTCATCTTACACACTCATCTCATATGCATCCATAACCCCTCGCTCTCATGTCACACAACACACCACTGCACCAAGACAAGCAGAAAGTCTATGGCTTCCCTCTACTCCGCCTTCTTCGAAGCCTTCGTCCGGAGCTTCATCAATGCAAACACCAACGCATACCCACTAATTGCAAAAATGACCGAGATTCCCGCGTCCCGCCATCCGTAAAAGTAGTGGTTGATATTCAATGTGGTCAAGAAGTCGCTTCCACGGCGGTACTCACACACCCGACAAGTCGAAGTAGCATCAGGGTTTGTCAAGTTGACACGCCAGCCCTGACCCGCGATGTAGTCCTTCAAGTATTCAGCGCAGGTGCCATTGGTAGGGTTGAACAGCGCAAACTCGTCCTCGTTACAGGTCACCTTGGCATCCCATATATCAAAGGTGAGCATTCCCGAGACGACATAGTTGAACGGGTTGAGGTAGTAGAGCCAGTATTTCCAGAACACGTTGAGTTGCGTGTACGGAACGAAGATACCACAGAAGAGCACCAAGACACTGATGATCATGGGGTTCACGAGGGCAGCAAAGGTAGGATTGGGCGCGTAGGCTGCGATGAACTGGCCGATACCGGTGTAAATGAACTCGTAGATGAGCATGATGAAGAAGGTAGCACCTGCCTTATTGGAATCATGAGGCAGGCGTACGCAGTAGTACCAGCAAAGAAAATACAAAACCGCGCATACACAAAGGTACGGGAACTCGGATACAATCAGACCGATGACGAATGAGATCCATGAATACATCTTTGACTTCTTCTCTCGTGCGTCGTAGATATCGCGTCGCTGGATAAACAATGGTTGGAGCTGATTGATAACACCTGGTGCAACGAAAACAAAGTTGAAAATAGTGAACATCTTCAACTGCAGGGCTGTCACACTAGGACCCACTCTCCAAAACGAAAAACCATTGAGCAAGGCGGAGATGATATGTAGGGAAAATTTATTGTTAACGTAGTTGGTATTTCGGAAAAGAGCCACGTTCATTCTGTGGGTAACGATCTTCGTCTGTTCCCAGAGCGGCATCGAGAACTCGCATCCATCGTCGTTAACACTGGAGGGCTTCGAGGCAGCCTCGGATATCAAGTGATCAAGCTCGGTGATCATCTGCTGATGTTCAGGCGACTCAAGCCAAACCTGGTGCCAGTCTTTGTCCTTGACGCTTTCGATGCCTCCGGTGACCACGTCGATCATGAATTCGGCTGGATTGGCCTCAACGGGGCATTGTGCACCATATTTGCCGAAATAATGTTTGATTGTCTGCCCATTTTCGCCGATATCGCCAAAATACACAGTTTTGCCGCCACGTGCGAGCAGCAAAAGAGTGTCGAACTGCGCAAATAACTGGGCAGAAGGTTGATGAATAGTCACCAAAACAGCCTGTCCAACATCGGCTAACTTGCGAAGAAACCGCACTGTATTATAAGCAGACTGTCCATCCAACCCAGAGGTAGGCTCATCCAAGAAAATCAAGATGCTCGGTTTGGATACAAGCTCCACACCAATAGTCACTCGTTTTCTTTGTTCCACACTAAGGCCATTGCCAACTGTGCCGATAAGAGTGTCTGCCAGATCATGAAGCTCAAGCAGGTCAATGATGGTATCAACATACTTGAGTTTCTCTTCTCTAGGGGTTGTCCGGGGTTGGCGCAATAATGCAGAGAATTCTAGAGCTTCCCGAACCGTAGCGAACGGTTCGTGAACATCCAACTGCTCGCAGTATCCAGCCATTCTTTGAAAGGACACAGGTAACGGCCGGCCATCAACCATGATAGACCCAGTAATGGTGCCCTCCGTCTTTCGCTGTGCAAGAACATCAAGTAAGGTTGTCTTGCCCGCTCCTGAAGAGCCCATAAGAGCACCAAGCATACCTGGCTTGACCCAGCCGTGGATATTATCCAACAAGACCCGGTCGCCGGAAGGTGTTTTGACAGTGTATTTGAGGTTCTTCCAGGTAAAGACGGCAGTATTACGGGAAAGGTTGCCATCCACCTCCGCAGTCGTGTCACCAGTGGCAGCTTTAGTTTGCTCCTTTTCCTTAATCTGAGACTCCTCGTCAATGCTTTTCTGGTGCTGCTTCAAGTTTTCACGGGGGATCAACAATGAAGCACTTCCCCCGGCACCGGCTTTCCAATACGTGGTGCAAATAATCGTGAGCACGGCGAAGAAGCCCCACCACGCCCATACGACCCCGAAATTCCTCCAGAGCTGCGAATGCTTGTAATGGAGCGAGGAGAGATACTGGTCACCGGTCACGTAGTCTGCACCAGGCAAAGCACCGCCTACTCCAGTACAAGCTTTGTTGGCAGAGTCGACATCTTCATATCCAGGGCCGGTAGGGACAATATTCTTTCCGACACAAGGGATAACCTGACCGTGAAACTCATTCGACAGCGCTGCTTGGAAGGCATAAGCCATTGGGTTGGTGTAGTAGAGCTCGAGGAACCAATTTTTGACCTTTGGTTTAGGGATCATATAGCCAGCATACATGACGATTCCTTTGATAGCGGTTCCCGAAATCTTCGAAGCGGCTTCGAAGGTACTGAAGGCTGCACCAATGCATCGAAATAGTGCTGTAACACACTAAGTAATGTTAGTTGAGAGCTATTACTGGGCTTGGAATGACTCACTAAGGTCGTGGTGAACAGGATGATCCAAAAGGTAAAAAATGCCGCTGCTGTTGCTTTGAGCCCGACCATCCAATATAATACGACTGAGAAGATCGTGCATTGGAAGAGTAGGACCGGAAAGTCAGCTGTTATTTGCGCCAAGCAGAAGGCAGCCGGATGGTAGAAAGCAAATCCCTTATGCTTGATGAGCACAGGGCGCCCTTTGAAGGACTCGGTAACCTCGGACATAGCGACGATCGTGTTGTACAACAGGGAGAAAAAGACTGCTCCACCTTTTGTGAAGAGCCCGGCAGATGTCTGGGGAGCGTTATAAAAGCAGGATCCGGCAATCAAGGCCATGACCAGAGACAGGATCTGTTTGATCAAGAATGTGGATTTCTCCCCCCACAGAATCTGATACTGGCGCCGCGTACATGCGAGAACTTGGGTCCCAAATCCAGTGGTGAACGGACTCTTCTGTGGTTGGTGTGTGGTCTTTTCGAAGGCAACAGACTCCTTGAATGCCTCCGTCCGCTCCTTGGCAACTGCGCTTGTGGGATAGTCGTATTCTGCTGTCATGTGGCTGTAAATAGCTGACGCCTTATACTCTGCCATGATAGAATCGGCATTCCGCGGAAACCTGTTTTCATACCCGGGCCTTATCCTTCGCTCAGTAGGCACGGTCACACCTGTTAGAAAGTCACCTAGCAAAAGGTAGATGTTAGTCGAGATTCCGCAGTGGGAGATGATTTGTGACGACTAACCAACATTGGCACCATCGGTATAGACAAACCCCAGGTTCTCCATGAAAGGTTTTGCTGCAGCTGCAGGGCCATAGAAGATTTGCTTCCCCTCGTCCAGAACCAAGACCTTATCAAAGAGGTTGTAGATTCCATTCCCTGCTTGATACAGGGTCACAATTGTTGAGAGTCCGAGAACGTTAGTCATCGCTCGCAAAGCCTTAGCCCACTCCAATGCAGTACTAGCATCGAGACCGCGGGTACTGTTGTCCCAACAAAAGACAGATCCCCTTGTTGCCAGGCATTCAATGATAGATACTCGCTTTCGTTCTCCTCCTGATACGCCCCGCACAAACTCGTTCCCCACCTTCGTGTCCGCGGTATGTGAGATCCCCATAGATTCCATGAGGAACTGCTTTGTCTCAGCAGTATACTCGCTCACAGATGCGGTACCATCAGGAAGATGAGATGGAACTTTGAGCCGAGTAGCAAAGTCCATTGTTTGACCAACGGTCAACCGGGGGTAGAATAGCTCTTCTTCCGTATTCATCACAATATGGCTTCGATATTGAGCTGCTTCTTCATGGGACAAATTTCCAAAGCTCACGTCGCCCTTGATGGTATGGTAGCCAAGGCGGCGATTGGAGAGTAAATTGAGAAGAGTGGTACACCCTGAACCCGGGCGTCCCAAGACTAGGAGCATCTCCCCTGGCTTGACACAGCCGTGACTTTCCGTCAATATAGATTTCAGGGGTGGTTTCCGGGTGAAGTCACGGATTCGTTGAGGTACGTTGAACTGGGAGAATAGGTTCTCATTGACTGCTGCCTCCGCTGCAAGGACATCCACGCCGAGGTTCTTCCAGGTCACACCTAGCTCTCGCTTCTTGAATCCTGCCGCAGCCTCACGTTCCTGGCTCCGGATGACCTGCGGGGTCATGCTCCATTCCGCGTCTTTCCCAGGAGGGGAGGTGGTGTTCGCATGGGGTACTGTCAAGGTTTCTGAACTTGGAGCTTCTCGAACATTTATATGGGGAACATTCAGTGTGTCGAGACTCTTTCGTTCTGGAATTGGTAAGTCGGAAGACTTTTCGTCTTCCGGGAACTCAGGAGAATTCATGACAGCTGAATTAATAGCCGGACAAGATTGATAATACACGAGATATTGCTATTCTGCAGTTCACGAGAATGGAAGCATCTTATATACATTTACGGAGCCCCTAGGGGTCTCCAAAATGATGAAGGGCCTCTAGTAATACCTCAATTGAATTGGGTGA